TTTCCCAGGAGTTACTTAACTTTGTCCTGACTCCTTGTGTTCTTTCTTCAGCTTGTGCTCCATTCTGTTTGCATTTGAGGACAAGAACACCATCACAGCAATGCACAACTTGGAAACTAGGTTCCTGTCTGTACACAGTGGATATTCTCAATAGCAATGCCTGAGTTTGTTTCCTGAAAATTCACTGCTTTCCCAAAGTATTAGCACTAATTTTTTAATGGAATTTTGGTAAACTAACATTTGGCATCTGTATCTTCCTACTTAATAGACACCAGCCTTGAAACTTTGGGTTTTTTAACAGCCTTTGTGTTCCAAACTCAGTTACGATCCAATTCCTGCCAAACTCACTCAAACAAAACTTCAGTCTGATATAAGCAGATTTAGATAAAGGGAAGGGAAAAAATTGTCAACACATTTGATTTCTAAGGAACCATTCTTTTGGGAAGACAGTTCTAAGCACTAGCCAGCTATGGGACACCTGAATTATACTTGGAGAGATGGATTCAGAAAAATCCAACCTGATCCTGAATATTTTAATCCATAACGTCCAGAATAAATAAAAAGCACATGTGTACTTCTTGCAGGAGAAGATACTCAAATTATTAGAACATTAGTTATTTAATTCCAGATTCCAACATGGCTTCAGTCCCAGCAGTTAAAAGCCTCAGGCAGAATGAGTGTGACTCCCTGAGAAGCACCTGAATGATCAGACAGGAGGGTTTTCCTTAACATTCACCTGCTATACTGAACTAAAGGCAACCAAAAATACTTTGGGTAATTGGACTGCACCCAAAGAACACACCCCAGCTGCCCAGAGAGATGGGCCTCACTCCCAGCTTGAAAATTTCAAGTAAAGCACTTTACTTCAAATAAAGCCTCTCTCTCTCCTGCTCTGCTGCTTTAGGCTTCCAGGAGCTAGAAAGCAAAAATCCAGAGAAAATTTCCTCCTTTGCAGGAAAACACCTCACTTTGGGAGAGTCAGAACCAGGCTTTGGTGCGTGATGGGTGGCAGGTAAGTAAAAAGAGCAAAGTTTTCACACAAACAACATTTGAACTGCAGAAGTCGCTCATGTGACGAAGCAGATGCCATGAAATTGCACCCTCTTCAATATAAAACTGATTTATTCACCTTGGATTTTTCTGACATTCTGCTATGACAATAGAACCATGTAAATTTGTATTTTCATTTTGCTCAAAGTAATCTACTTGTTAAGTGCTTTAAAGGTATTCTGAAATTCCACTGAAAGACACTCAAAAATACTTCCATGTAATTCCTAAACACCCCAGGACCATAAATGGGTATTATTTTTAAAAAACAGAATGTATGCCAAAAAGCTTTAGATCAAAGTATCTTCCAGTAGTTTTATTCCAAATTTGGCCATGAAAAAGTCCAACTTAAAAACCAAACCCATGTAATCTAGCCTTGACATTCAACTGTCTGATAACAGTCTTCTTTTAAGGGGGAGGAGAAAATTTGACCAAACTGAAGGTGACTCTGATTGAAATAACTACCACTAAAAAAAAATTTATCTAATTTATTTTGGGAAAATGTGCCAGAGTGCTTGTTAAAATTTCGGCCAAAGACAACAAAGTAGACACACATTTCTCTCATTTAGATGCATGTTTCTTCCTTTTTTGCCCTACAGTTCCTTTTACAAGAACTAAATGACACTGGCAGTATCAGCTTCCAGGGTCAGTAAGGGCTGCCTCAACCCCTCTGACAACACGCTTCAACGTTGAAGAAATCTTTTTTCATAGAACCAAAGAATCACAGAATAGTTTGGGATGGAAGGGACCTTTAAAGTCCATCTAGTCCAAATCACATGCAATAGGCTGGGACATTTTTGACTAGATCAGCACGTCATCCAACCTGATCTTGAAGATTCCAGGGATGGGGCATCTGCCACCTCTCTGGACAAACCACTTCAGTGTTTTCCCTACCCTCATCACAATTTTTTCCCTAATATTACCTGATTTGACCTTTCTTCATCTTAAAACCATTACCCCTTGTCCTATCATTACAGCCCTGCTAAAATATCTGTTCCCACCTTTCTTTTAAGCCCCCTTTCAGTACTGGAAGGATGCTGTGAAGTCTCCCAGGAGCCTTTGCCTCCAGTTCTCTTAGACTGTCTCCACAGGAGAGGTGGTCCAGTGATTTAATCACTTTTGTGACTCATTCCAACAGAGATTCCATGTCTTTCCTGCACTGGGGACCCCACAGGTGCAGGTGGGTTCCCACCTGAGCAGGGCAGAGGGGCAGGATCCCTCCTCCCTTTCTGTCCACATTGTAGGATGAGCTCAGGACAGGTTTGGCTTTCTGGGCTGCCAGAGAACACGGCTGGGTCATGTCCAGCCTCTCACCCCCCAGCAATTATCCACACCAGGGGTTGTGCAACCCAGCTGCAGGTTGCTGTGCATAAACTATTTATCACACTAGATTGCAGTAGTTTTTATTTGGGATGCCATTTTGATCACCACATTCTATTTGTGACTGTAGATAAAGCCCACTGGCAGATCAATGATCTTGCCTGAGAATATTAATGTATTTCTCTGTCAGCCTTCATGTTACTATCTATTCCTTGCTGAACAATTTCACACACTTCACAAAAGGCTTTTGATTGTTCAACAGAGGAGTTTTATCAGGACAAATGCAAATTACTATTTACAACACATTTTTGATTCTCATCTTGGTGTCAAATAGTGTTTCTCTGTTGTTACTTATTTAAGACTTCACTTAGACCTTAGAAATGAGGATTCACCTTATAAATTAAGAGTATTCACTCTGAGTAAATCTTGCATTCACTGTCTAGACTGTTGGAAGATGTTAGATTTCAGCATTCCCCTTATGCTGAGCAGATTCAGATTCCTACAGAAGACAGATGTTTGGAATTCTTGGACAACTGTGTCGTGCCTAACAATACACTGAAGATCACATTTCAGATTAAAGTACTGCTTGTGTGACACCCTCCCATCTTTTTTGCAATAAAATGAAAAGGAGACAAAACAGAAGAGGAAAGCAAATAGCATTTATTGTCTAAAGAAACATCAGTTCTGTTCCTGAAGCAAATTTTAAGGTATTCATTTTTATAGAAGCTGGATGTATTTAGTAGAAATTACAGCAATTGGTTTAACCAGGAATATGCCCTTCTAGCCCAAGAACTGAGCTGATAAAGCAATTTCTGAATGACTTTGTTTATATAGGCACAAGGCAGCTTCTTCTCATTTTACCAGGTTAATGACAAAATTAGATGCAGCCAAGTAGTTCATGTGTGCAGCTGTGCTGAATCTGACAAGCTTTACCAGAACAGTTATAAGAAATTGTTAACAAAATTTTCACACAGAGAAGTTTACCAGAGATAGAAAACTATCAGCATGAAAGCTGGGAATTGTTTATTTAAGACATCCTGGACACACTTTATTAATGTCTCCTCTAGAATCCAGGTTAAACCCTGAGCAACTGGTTATCTTTTTCTGTGTCATAAAATGTAGTTCTCAGAACATTTGCATGTAGCTTTTTTGAGCACCCATCCTTCAGCAACACATGATACCTTTAAACACAAAGTTTTGTTTTCATGGTGCTTAAAACAGGATTTGTGTAAACATAACTTGTGTTCTGTCTCACAACAATATACATTTTTTGTGTGTTGTGTATTATTTTTAAGGTGTTCAGACAAGAAAACATTTTAAGAAATTTTAATATTGTTGACTTTAACTCTGAAAATGAATACAAAACACTATATTTCCCCCTCCAATTGTAAACTTGCTAAAGACTTATTTAAAGCATATTTTCACATTGACTTGGGCTAGGAAAAGCCAGTTTTCAGGCAGAATTTCACACATGTGTAACACAGTTCCATGCCACAATCCCCTTCTGTATGATTCATGTGATCTAGAATACACAATTATTCAGAAAAACATCCAAAACTTTAAAAAACCATAGACAGGCAGCATGTGCTGGTGTAGCTTGATAACTAGCTGATTGTTAAGTAGTCAGCTGGCAACTTCAAGTTAATCCATGACATCAAGCTACAAAAAAATGAGACACCAAGTGAATACTCCAAGCATTTGTAACTGAACACTAAGTTTCAGTGTAGTAAGGAATATGATTGCTAGTTTGTCCAAAGAGTTTCAGGCATTTTGTTTTGGTTCTTCTTAAGTGTTAAAGAAAATAGTAATTTTAGCTTTCAAGGTACAGCACATTTCCAATGAAGTTGGATTTCAAACTGAGTTCAATGCTTTTGGTCATCACCATGGAAATGTGACTACTCAGGCACAAGAAATTTCTTTGGTACTTTTATTTTTCTTTTCTCTAAGCACAGCATTGGTGACAGCTTTTCTAAATTTAGAGATGTACCTGGAACAAGAACTTTGTCTTTTCAAATCAGATCTCCCTCCACATTCTCTTTGGCATCCTGCACAAAGATTAACCTAACACCTCTTTGCTGAACAATGCTCTTCAAAGCAGTACGCTCAAGAAAATAGTCTAATTTTGTAAAAGTAGTTTATTCTAAAAATTGGCACATCAATGAAAAGATTTCCCTGAAAAGATTCTATTCTTATGTATTGTAACATCTTTAAAATGCCAAAGTTCTCAGTTATGAAGTGTATGCCACTTAGAACTGCTTCACATCTTGAGTAAAAAAAGACAACAAGCAGAAAGCAGCAAGATTTCAGCAAACGCTAATAAAAATTTCAGTGCTTCTGACATTAAAGAGCAGTTTAGGTTGGAACAGACCTTTAAGATCATCAAGTCAAGCATTAACCCAGCATGGCTAAGGTCAACACTAAACCATATCCCCATGTGCAATACCTACACGCTCTTTTAAATCCCTCCATGGATGTTTACTCCATCACCTCCCTGGACAGCCTGTTCCAATGCTTTTCATCATTTCTGTGAAAAAATTACTCCTAATATCCAAATTAACCCTCCTCTGCCATAGCCTGAGGCCGTTCCCTCTCCTCCTGTCCCTGTTCCTGGGAGCACAGCCCGACCCCCCGGCTGTAAACACATCCACAGCCTTTCCCTCAGCCCTGAGCAGGTCACCTTGGCCCAGGAGGAGATCAGGGGTGTCAGGCAGGACCTGGCTCTCCTAAACCCAGGCTGGCCAGGCCTGATATCCTGGTTGTCCTGTTCCTGATGGCGCTCAAGGTGACCTGCTCCATGGCCTCCACGGCACTGAGGGGACGTGACAGGCCTGTAATTCCCTGGATCCTCCTCCTGACCATTCCTGTAGATGCATGTCACATTTGCCAGTCTCCAGTTAACCGGGAATTCCCCACTTTGCCTGGACTGCTGGTAAATGATTGGAAGTGGCCCAGCGAGCTCTCTGCCAGCTCCCTCAGCACCCCTGGGTGGATCCCATCCCACCACTTGGTAGTGTCCAGGTGTTCTAGCAGCTCACTGACCATTCCCTCATGGATTATGGGGGTAACACTTTGCTCCCATCCCTGTGTTGCAGCTCAGGGTGCTGACTAAACAAGGCAAATGTACTGTCCAGTATTCTTCCTAACAGAGTTTGTCTTTGAAAAGAAATAAGTGCATATGCTTGGAAAAAAAATGCAGGCAAAGATGTCTAGACACAAATGAAACAGAAAATAACTACAAACCACTTGTAAAACATTAGTGTGGCAAAAAACACCTACATCTCGAATGTTTGCAAATAAAAGAGTCCAAGTAAGCCAACAACAAAAATACTGATGTGTTTCTACTTGCTAACTAAGATTTGTTAAAGTGCCAGATAATGTACTTTCATTTTAAAACATTTAAAAATATTTTTAAATATTTACTTTAAGAAATGAATGCAATGTGAATTACAACAATAATTCAGTTACTTTTCTAGTTAAAGGCATTAAATCGGTACATTTTTATGGTTTTACAGAGTGCAATGTGATTAAGCCTTACTTAATGACTTTCTTATTTGGGATGTGCTACAGTGAACACCTGACAGTATAAATCAGTGTTATCAAAATGACACATAAGAACTGGGGGATAGGAAAACGTGAAACAAGTGATACTGTAGGAAAAAAAAATATGATTGTCACATTTGTGAAAATATCTTTTTAACATATAAGCATCTGAAGTTGCCATAAGTACAAAAATTAGTAAACTTTTAACCACTATAAAAGTTCATAGTTTTAACTCACAGATCTGACATGTGCATTTACACATAGCTTGCATAACACATCCCAAAAAGGCAAACCACAACACAGCCCTGTTTTCCTTTCCTTAGAGAAACTTCTCAGCCAGCCTAATCTGGAAGACACACATCTTCATGACCATCACAAGGATTTCAAGTCACTTATTCTGTTTTCTTTGCTTGCTTTTTCTTAGCACTCTCATGGTGCTGCTCAGAAGGCTGGTCACAGACTGAAGAGCCGTTGGAAGATGTGGCACTTTCACCCTTCACTTTGGAAGGTGTCTTTCGTGAGCCAAAAAACATTTGGCCCACTGCAGCCTCAATGGGAGCAAGTGGAGAAGTTGCACATCTTGTCAACATCATTTTTACCTACAAAGAACAAGGATCAAATTACAATAGAAGTAGTGATGGCTGCACAGGTAAACAAAGCTGAAGGGATGTATGGCATTTTTAACTTTCCATACAAGGATGAGGCTGTGCAATTACCAACAAAAGCCTGCTCGTTTCAGCTGAAATTGGGCAAAGAATGCTTTTTTTTTCTGACCAACACCCTTCACACAGCTATGAAGGGGGCCTACAGGGAGGTCAGAGAGGGATTTTTCCTTGGGAACTGTAGAAATAGGACAAGGGGGAATGGGTACAGATTGAAAGAGGGGAAATTTGACCTGGATTCTAGGAAGAAATTCTTTACAGTGAGGGTGGTGAGATACAGGCTGCCCTGAGATGTTGCTGATACCCCAACCCTGGTAATGTTCAAGACCAGGCTGGATAAAGCCTTGACAAGCCTGGCCTTATAGAAGATGTCTCTGCCCATGGTAGGGGGAAGGAAATGGATGGTCTCTGAGGTCCCTTCCAGCCCTTAACATTCTATGAGTCTATGTTTCTATGAGCTATACACAAACAATGTGCACCAAAAAAAAAAAAATCTCCGTAAGATTAATCATCCTGAGAGTAAATCACATTTAATGCCATACATTTAAGGTGAAGACCAACTTACACTTTTATGAGTAAGTTTTGTGCCTTGTTCAAACTGAAAAACTAAACAGAGTGGCTTCCTTCCACTTAAATTGGAAGAATGGAATGTGTAACTACATTTTGAATGTACAGGTCCATAACCAGACTTCAATTAGAATTCCAGACAGCCATATTCATTCCATAAAGTTCCAAGATTTAGGTGGGCACCCCTGAGGACATGTAACTTGGAATCAGGATTGAAAAAACAGTTTTTCAGATCCGGGTAAGTTCATATTGCAACAGTTTCTGCAGCTTTCAGAGACATGACAAGTTTCTAGGAGACATTATTAAAGGACTATACCAGATACACTGTTGCTTTATTAGTTTATTAGATAAGTGGGTGTGAGTTCCTGACTGTCAGTACAACCATCAGTGGTAAGGATTTAGTTACTCCAGTGCAGCTGGACAGACAGCTCCTGTGGACACCTGCAATTTCTCCATTCCAGAATAACATTCCTTTCCTCCTTCATTCCCAGCACCCACAGTTCAACAATGCCTTTTTCATTTCAGATGGAGAATGAAGGACATAAGCTTCAAGTCTTGGCTCCCTAAAGTTAACTTCTGCAGAATTAAACTCGTCAGCTCCTTCCCAGAAAGGAGACTGGCAACCACACTTCCACACATTCCCTGGCCTGCTCAACACCAGCTCTGAAGCTCTTAAAACTACTAGATATCTGCTAACAGAGATTATGTTTTCTTATAAACTAGTAATCCAGAAGAAAGGCATCATCCTGGAAATGAACAAGACTGGAGGGACTGAAGACTTCAATAGAGAAGTAGTGTCTATTTTATTACAGAATAGTTACAGCTACTTCAAAGTAGTTTTGGTATGCTTTCCCTTCCCACACAAACACTTATTTTGTGAACATTTTAAAGCAAATGAGAATCCAGTTGGTTTGTTTTACAGACCCACTGGCAACTGCATAGGTATACACAAAAGACAGAGAACAGAAGAACAGAAGAAGAACAGAAGAATTTCTTTCTACAAGAATAAGCTTTTTTTTTTTTTTTTTTTTTTTTTTTTTTTTTTTTTTTTTGAGATTACAGACATACAAGCCTGGAATACCAAACACTGAGTGTCAAAATTCCTGATTTTTTTCTTTTCCTCCCTGTCCCCTGCATACATTGAACAGAATCAGTAACAGAACAGGTCTTCCATTCTGCTCATACACAGAACTCTAAACACATTACTTCAGCAGAAGCTGGCCTTCCCATCAAGCAGCGTGCATTTTAACAATTAAATAAAATATTTTCTCTGATATGGTCACTAGCAACTTTCAAGTTCTTACCTTGAAGACAACAAGAAAGATGGTGTATAAAAACACAAGGTTGTGTTTTGCTATTGGCAAGTACTGTCTGCGTTGCAGGGTGAAAAGAACTGCTCCTATCAAAGTTACCTTCACAGGGCTAGAAATCAAACAAAGAATGTTAATTTCTCTTCTCTGCTCTACGGTGGAAGCTGCCTGGAAAGCAATACATATTCTTAAGTGTGCAAAATAATTATTTCTGAATGGAACTAACAAAAACTTGTGGTAATAGGGGTAAGGTCCAAAATCCAGCTATAACTAAATTAAGATTTTCACTTTATATACTATTATTATGCTTTCAAGTCCAGCACTACTTTGCAAACCCAGAAAATTCCTATTTGAAAAATACTCAAATCAGTGCTTCTATTTAGACTTTATACGTCAGCTTGATTCTCTTCTTCCTCTCCCAATATATCTTATTGAAGAGTTAAATTACAGAGCTCACACTATTTGGACTAGACATAAAAACAGGTTCCTATACTATCCTACAGGAGTTAGTTACTCCAAGGAGTTGCTTAAGGTGTTGAAGAGTAACATAGTCCAAGTCTTGGTCCACTGTAACACCCCAGCAGCTCTGGGGCTGTATCAGCTTAAACCTGACTGGAGCCAGGCCTGTAGTACCAGGTTTTGTCAACACAGCTGTGCTGGCCTGAGACATGCAAAGATTTCCAAACTATTTCCACTTTGCAGCAATCTTTGTTGCAGTACTAAATCCCTTCCTAGGAATGCAGACAGAAAGCAAGAGATCTTTGGTCAGCTATCCAGAATTCTGTGCATTTCGTAATCTGCACGTGACATGTACAGGTGACATTCATGTTATCACAGAGCATCTATTGTGGATCTGTTCTTCGCAGTCTTTTCAGGAACCAGAAAAGTACATCAAATTCCTGCTCAAGAAGCCCAAAAAACAACCCTGTGTACACAGGCGTCTCATCCATTTGCAAGACGTTTGATGCTTTTAACTCTGTAACTTAGTTCAATTTAATGCTCTTAAGACTTATACATAAACAAAATTTTTGAAATCTTCTTTGAGTTACTTTGAGCCATACCCACAGTGGAGAAGGAGAATATATGCAAGTGATGCCAATCAGTAAGCATTGTTCTGGTGTTGCACCTGTAAAGACAGTTTTACTTGTGTCTACAAGTTATTTTTGACACTCACTTTTTCTTCTGGAAGTTTACTTTCAAGACTGCCATTTAGGCACTGACAAGAGAAAGAGAAATTCTAAATACTTAGAATTTCAGAAAAAGCCAACAACTAACACAATCCACAAAAAGTTGAAATATTGCCAAAGAGAAGGCTACAAATGTCTCTCCTGTTATTCTGTGTCTATGAGCGGCTGCTGAAAAGCAAGATAGCTTTTTAAAAAAATAAAATTATTATTTTTAAAGACCTGACTGTAACCTGGGAAAGATCAAAAGAATTTTAGGAAATTATCACAGTGACCTTATCTTGACTTACAATAATAGCTTGTGGCTTTCCAGCCTGTTTCAATTCTCATTTTACAGAGAAAACCAGGAGGCATGTAATATTCCTTATTCTTTGCTTCTTGCAAGAGAAGGAACTTTTCCCATCTTGCAGGTCATTTCTGCTATACTGAATAACCAATTTGTACCTTCTCAAATAATTGATGTCTTTGGAGGAAAATAGCACTGGCAGCAAAAGTAAGAGTGACAGTGTTCAAAGGAAGCCATCTTAGTGATGCTCAGAACATACACCAAAATTCACTTGTGTATTTCTAGTACCACTGTGCTTTCATTCTGGACAGAAGACCATGTCCCTGTAAGACAAACTGAGCCAATACTGCTTTCTAGCAACTCCCCACAAGGTCTTTACTACTTTCTGCCAAGTTTTGTTGACTTCTTCCCATTTGCAGCTCTTGGGCTGTGAACAGAAAATGATTAAAATATCTTCTGAAGTCCCAAAGTTCATTGTCCCATCTTTCAAAGGATACACACCAAAACAAAGTACAAATACGTCCTAATGGAGCTTTTTTTTGGGTTTTTTTTTTTGTTTCAACTACCAAAAGTAAGCATCCACACAAGGAGCCTGTGAAACAACAGCTAACCTGTTGCAGTTTTTAAAAAAAAACTTACTAGGACATCTGCAGGAGCTCATTGGTTTCAGGTTTCCACACTCCTCTCACCAGCTGCTCAAAGTTGGAAATTAGGCCACCACCAGCACCTGAAATTGCAGAGATTTATGGCAAGTTTCCACTGACTGCTACCACTACTATGCCATCGCTCCCAGAAAAAGTCATGACACCAGGTGCTAAATGTGGCACCAAAGCCCAGACTTAAAAAGATTTAATCCAGCCTCTCATGCAAACAAGATTCAAATGACAGCCACAAAATGTCAGAGGCTGAGACACTCAGCAAGAAGCTCAGGTCTGCCTGTAAGTGACAGCATCTGAACTGGTGCGATCATCACATTCACACGTGCTGCTTCCCACATTAGCACAGAAGCAAGCAGAAACAAGAGCTGCACAACTCCTTTCTGAAGCGACCTTAATGGTGTGGCTGCAACTACAGCTGTCAGGGAGGTGGCTTCCAGAATTCCAAATGGCAGGCAGGCAACAAGGGTTATCCCTACGTTTAAAACCAAGTAATGGTTACAAGCCAAAAAGCTAAGATACGCAGTTCTCTTCTTCAGCCTCATGCAAGGACACAGCTCTGCTGTTGGAAAGTGCAGCAACAGCTACACAGATTTACTTCTTTATTGTCATCAACTGCTCATCCTGCAAGCTCTCGTAAGACTTTCCGAAGGCAACTCCCCTCAAAGTCCTTCAATGTCACCCTTAATTCAGGCAGACAATATGCAACACAGGCTTTTTCCTTCAGGGGACATCACATGCATCAGGACTACAACGCCCAGCACAGCAAGGATGGTGCTACAGCTCTGCTGAGGGGCTAGACATTTAAACACCGCCCCAAAAAAACCCAAACCCTCAGAAAAAGATGCTGTGCATGTTACCTCTGGCCCAGCCCACAGCCACCATGATAAGGCAGGCATCTTTGTAGACAGAGTCTGCATGTGCAATGCCATCTGTGATCTTCCAAGTCCTTGTCACTTCTTTCATTCCTGCCACCAGAAGACGAAGAGGCAGAAAGGAAAAGCAGCGGCAGAATATGTCTTCTGGGCAGTAAAACACTAGATACCTGAAAGTCATCAGGAAACAAAACATTAGCCACATTTTTTTCTGAGGAATTATCTCTTCATAATCTTTAAAGATATTTTTGGAATATGACTAGCAATGCCTGATATACTACTGACAACTCCAAGACTTGTGGCACACATCTTGGAACAATTTGAAAAGCTTCTGAGCACGCCTGAGCTTTTGCACCAAAACCAAATACTACTGTCTCATTGTCACAGAGAAGAATCTGCTGAAGTCCACGTGAAACAGCTTTACATTTTTCCAATTGTTCCACACCTTACACATCACATTTTTACAATTCAAGTCATTAAAGTGGTATCTGATTGACTTTGTGTGGTTTATCTTGTGAGTTTAGTTTGGTGTAGGGGGTTGTTTTGTTTTGGTTTTTTGTTTGGGATTTTTTAAAACTATGATTACAACAGGGTGGTAAATTAAATGCTGACTCTGTGCTTCCAGACTGTAGGTACCTGGAATTATATAACTTCAGCAAGAATGCCTCCACTACTTAATGTCATACCAGATGAAATGCATGGCTATTTTTAAACACATTTAACATCTTAGTACTCACCAAGTCTAGCTTTTCCAGCTTGCCAATTACAATCACATTTTTTTATCCAAAGCATTGAAAGAACACTACACAAAATATCTTTGATCAACTTGCTTTTAAAACCAAATAAAGATGGCTAACATTAAATGCTAAGTGACAGTAAATTTTAAAATATTAGATTATGTACTGTTGTATTATATGTCTTCAATAATAAATACAACTCAGTTCTTACTGAGACATTCACAAAGACCCAATCAAGATTAAGTATATTGATTAAATTATCTTAAGTAGATTATTTCAGCACAGGAGTAAGAGTAGTAATTGCATAAGAGCAGCGAAAGTGTTTAAAAAGAAGGATAAATTTTGTTTTATTAAAAAAAACCCCACTGCCCCTTGCTTTAAGGTTTTTGATCTCAAACCTGCCTATCAAGAACTTCTGAGGCCCTTCCCTTTATCTCTTATTCTAAAGTCAGATGCCTCTGCATGCAACCAGGCTTCAATCAAGCCAAAGATGTGGAGAGAGGATTTATTTTACAGACTACCACAAAAAGCCATTTAAGCCACCCGCTCACCAGACAGCTCACATCAGAATTAATTCAGATCTGCAGAATGCAGGTTTAGGACCCTGGAGCACGGGTGACAGGACCAGGGCTGGCACTGAAGGCCCACCACGGCATTCCTGCCTGTAATCTCTGCTAACAGCAGATGCCGCTGTCCTACAGACTATTTAGGAGCATTCCTCAAGCCCAGCACGACTCCACTCACTTTCCAGTCCTAAGTGTAGCTCGAGGAATTCCATTTTGCATGATCCGGGACCAGGAATTAAGGTCGTTACACTCAGGAAAAGTGGACTTTGTAAAGCTGGAAGCTTAAAACGTTTTGTAACGTTCACAGCTTCTCACTAAAACCTTTAATTTGTGCACAGCAAATCACATTTGATCACGCTGAGTTAAACAGAAATCCTGCTCTCCTCAAGTGTACTCCTAGCTCATGTCACTTGATGAAACAAGCAATCAGTCTGCCCACATCAGACTAACACAACCACAGGCAGGTTCTGTTAATAATTCACTAATAATACATGTTATTCATTTTACCAAATTAAATATGTCATTTTCTACTGCAACACAAAGACCATAAAACTAATACATATACCCAGAGAGACAGAAATACTTGATCTCATTTTAATGAATTTGCAATTGTAAAACTTATGGGGCAAGTGGAACTTAAAGGATTTTAAGCAGGCCAGACTATCTAAATACAGTGACTGAGATTTCTAAATTCAAAACCCCACTGCTGCTCATGAATTTTGTCAAGTTTGAAGTTTTCTTTAAAGATCACTTTCTGGAACAAATAAACTCCACTGGAAGGCCAAATTTATATGAAAATAACTCCAGAATGTTTTTTTTTAACACCAAAGCAGGCCAAAATGCCTAATACTTGATTCAATCATACTATTCAGATAGCAACTGTCTTCTACCACAACACCTGTCCATCTGGGAATGAATGAAATACAGAAAAAAAAATGTGTCTGGAAGTAGGAACTGGAGGAAAGATGTGTCTTGGAACCTCAGTTACAGGAAAAAACAAAATTTTACATCAGCCAGGTTCTGGTCTTCAAGAGCTACTTTTTAAAAACTTGACTGCATTTATGACATACCTATGTTCAGCAAATCAGCAACGGAATAACTTTATTAAAAAGTAATGTTTGCAGCTGTTTGACCAGGAATACTACAAAAAACTAAGCCAAGTCTGATCTAGCAACAGAGCATTTTGTAACACAACAGGCTGTAGGAGCTGCTGTCTGTTCCCAGAGAACATAGCTGCTGTGACACTCTGGATGAACAGACAGCATCCAAACCCACAACACTTTTAAGCAAAAATTCTGATTTACACAGAACCTTGACAGTACAGTATCAATTTACAGCATACAGCTTCCTTAGAGCCAATATCACCCATTTTACTCAATTGTGGCTGCTTACCAGACTGAGGATGCCAGTAGAATGTTTATGGTCTTTGCCAGAAATGCTACTGGAGGTTCACCAAGCATCAACGAAGACAAAACTGAACCCCCAAAGCAATAAAGCATTGCACTAAACCAGCAGGCCAACGGACTTCGGACCGACACTTCCACAACTCCTGTGGGGAAAAAAAAAAAGCATAAACAGAAATGAAAACTGGAGAATAACATCATGTTTTAAAGGTCAGTATTTTTCAATTTAGTTCCCTTGGGTAATGAAAAATCCTCCAACGATCAGCAGGCTCTCACAGGAAAATTTCCCAGAAATACAAACCTCAGGGTATGGTGACTTTAACTTACACTCCTAAACAGAAGTTTAGGCTGACACAAAGTGTTCTCTGAATATCTTTTGTGCATTAGTTTGTTATATCTAGGTACCAAGAAGAAAAAGCTTTCAGAGCATAGCAGTGAGGTCTTGCTGTTAACACCCAGACCCAGGGACACACTTGCTTTCAAATTTGTAATAAAAACACCTAAGTGGCTAATCCAAACAGGATTGCTGACATTTGGAGGGTTATTCTAGGAATTCCATTTCTGCTTTTGAGTGTTCCAAGAACTCAAGGTAACTGTTTTCCTTTCTTTTCTCATAATATCCTGCTGTGATTGCTGGCCAAAATGAAAACGGCATCCAAGGCAATTATCAAATCGTTTTCACCTGCACTCTTGAAGAGAGGGAAAAAAAGGCTACCTTGACCTACAATAAAAAATGTAAATTTCCCTCATTATTAAAAAGTCGACAGTTTGGTTTATTTCATCATCTGTAAAATGAACTATCATTTTAAAATGCAAGTCAACTATGCCAAAAAGAGTACTTAATACTAAAAGGTTATACTGGAGGTAATGGGAAGTATTAACCATTTTCAGAGGACAATAACATTTTATCAAAGCTAGAAATAGCCTCAAGTAGTTGTTCTGATTATTTCCTTCCATTTTAAAAGTCCAGTGTTGCCAAAGCCTCCCCTTTACACTGGTTCTGAGCTGTTTGCCTGAACAAGTTTAATTTTCCGTAGTCCAAAGGCTGAAGTACACAAAAGCACTACTGTCTGCCCCAAAATGAAATTTGACATCTGTTCCCAATTCAGAGTAGAAGCTTTGGTCTATCAGGCATTTCTGTGGGAAAAGAAGCTTCTATCCAAAATGAGAGGCTCAAACATTTAAAAAAGCATACAGCACTCTCAATTTATTCACTGTATTAACAAGACTGTTCCAGTTTTAGTGCTGGCATAGATATCAAGTACTGCAGCACTATCAAAATGCCATATAACAGCCAATTTATAAAAATGAGCACTCCTAAGCAATCCAGAATACTTGAATATAAAACCATATCTCTTTTATCTTTAACTATTTTGTAATTTATTTTTCAAACTGCAGTACCTAGTGCTCCAAGTAAGACACTTGCAAATTACTAATGGCTTGTGTTTACTACTTTTGAGTAGGTTTAAAATTAGGCATCTGTTCTCTCTTCATATCCATTCTCCTGCCTTCCAACAATCATCAGCTTCTCCACACTTCCTTTGCCCCACAATTTGGATTTTCAGTTTTGAGGGCAAAGTGGTTTTCAGTTTTGAGGGCAAAGTGGTTTTCAGTTTTGAGGGCACATCCAGACTGCCCTCTACCAGTAAACTCTACAACAATGCAGGTAAATTTCTTCATTTTACAAGTAAAAGGTCAAGAAAGCGGAACCTCTATTGCACTTCAAGATTTTTCTGCTGGTCAGCACTAGAAATGGCTCAAATGCCAGTTTTTAACAATTCATACCTGCTTCCTAACAAGGAATACACACAAAACAGAAGACAATGAGACAAAAAAGTTGAAACTAATTAAAAGATCATCTCAGCATTGCTACCTAAATTATTACTAGGGTGTAGCCTTTCAGAAGACAAATTCAGTTTTAAGTAGGTCACATGTTTTTATACAAAGTGGTCATTTATATTTGTCCTCTGATGCATCCTCTAAAGTTAATGAGGCATCACACAACCATGCAATGGGGGATCTGCCAGAAGGCCACCAGCCCTGCAGATGTACACTTCAGAAAGGAAAGGTTTCAAAACACAAGGACTAATTTTGAATATGGTTTTAAGAATTGTTCCTGAACAATAGTAACATTAAAAGACAAACAAAAACCAAAAAAACAAAACCAAAGGGAAAAAAAAAAAAAAACAAAAAAACCCAAACAACATAAAACAAAAAAACAAAAGCAAATAAAACACACACTAACAAACAAGCCCCTTACTAACTATTTCTGTCAATAGGATTAGATTTGCTTTAAATTTTTCTGCATGTTCCAAATAAGCAATAATGCAGACTACACACACATCCAGTGAGCAAATCAAGAGGATTTGCACAAGTTTTTTCCAGTACCCCATTCAACTACATAGAATTTCATTAGTTAAGATAAAGGATTTATAGAGTCAGACTTAACAGAGCAAAACTATGCTGAAGAAATTATTTCTCTTCAAATCACCTGAAACACATCATAGAAAAATGTCCGGAACAAACTAAATATGACACATCCTCGACCACCAACACGTTTTGCTGTCCCTCCATCCCAAAAAAAAAGAAAACTTCCAGTTCTGCAACTGGCTGGAGTTACAAGCAAGCAACTCCTAAGCCATCCCAAAAGCACTAATGAAGAACTCTTCTTTTAAAACACACAGAAAGCAACAAGTCGGTTGTCACTGCTGTAGTTTGCCAGTCACAAGTGAGCAAGAAAGCCTGGCTAGGAGGATTGGAAAAGTCCCAGTTAGTGTGCACCCACACATGATCCAAATGCCCACACGGAATCTGATTTTAAGCAGTGGGGGTGGGTTGGTATTTTAATGAGACAGTAATCTGCGATAAAATAAATGTGGCTGTAACTTGACCACATAGTCCTTACATCACCAGGCACTCAAGGCTATCCTGTTATTTCCCTGTCAAATTTAGCTACTGTTGTAAGTTTCCAAAAAGAACAAAAAGCCTAGACAGCATTAATCGACAATAATATAGCTATACTGAGTGTTCATAATAACTGCTATTTCAGTTATGATTTAATACTCAGTTCAAACCACTTGGGAAGTGAGAAACAGGCCAGCAGGCAGTCACCTGGATTACAGTTATTAATTCCAACTATTAGAAAATACTCAGGAGTTCTGAACTACCAGCTATTAAGCTGAGAAGACAAAAAAAAAAGAGGAGCATGGGTCTGACCAGACTTCTGATAGCAATTTTACTTTTCATAAGCGTTGTCTCACTAAAACTACACAGAGAGACCTCTCATCCTCATCTTTAGGTGTGCCCATTCCAGAGGAAAAGTTAAAGGTATTGCATGATAATGTCAGAAAGTCCCTTTCTAAATGGAACAGACACATTACACAATGCCACAGCCCAGCACCTGTTAAAAATTTTAGCAGCATTAACAAAGTTTGGTGAAGATTCTAGAATGCATAAGCACTTTATACCAGTCTTCACAGTCTGTTAAGTGCATTTCCTCAGCAGATGGTCAAAATTCACCTCAGAACACTTAGGAAGGGACCAAAGAACAAGCTCCACTAAATGAGCAGCGCAGAGCCCTAGAAATGTGAGGCAAGCAGCAGCTCCCAAATTTGCACTATAATCCCAAAAGCCAGCTCAGTTCCTACACAGTTATCACCTGGGATGCACAGTTACTGCAAACATGTTTAAATCCACAAATCCACACCACAAGTTAGCTTAATTCCAAACACTGAAACAAGGCCAGCATCTACATTTGTGACAGGGAAAAAAAAAAAAAAAAAAAAAAAAAAAAGAAAAAAAACCCCAAAACAAAACAACAAACAGGCTTGGGGTTAACAGCGACTGTGTAAATGATTTTGTAGAAGAGAGCATGCAGACTGAAGTGCCATGATGTGCTCTCATATAAAACCTTGTTAGTGGAAGTGGAAAGCTTTGCTAAATTCACTTTACAACCTACAGGGTACAGCACTGACAAGCCCCCGGCACAGGACCTACCCATGAGAGTCCTGAGGTGTTTCCTACAAGGCAGAAAGGCCTTAAAACACCCCCCTGCACAAACAGGGTGTGTGAAGGATGTGAACTCCAGTTAATCTCTCCTCTCAGATGCAATTCTGGGCAGAGAGATACCGGCCTGTGTTACACACACATAAACCCACCAACCCAACTTCGAGGGGCCTCGGCTCTTCTCCTCGAGACCCCCACACTGGTACAAACAAACAAATAACCGAATAAAAAAACCGAAGGGTTTCCAACAAAACTCTTGGCTGATTCCGCCAGCGCCTCTTAACTTCTGGAAAGCCAGAAAAGCTTGGCCGGGTGTCTTTTGCGGGCGGCGAGACAAGGCTTGCGGACAGACGGGCTGAGGCAGGCGGCAATCCCATCCGCACAGCCATGGGGCTCCCCACGCTCACCCTGCGGGGCTGGGCACCCCGCGGGACACACGGGGGAACACCGCGATGGGGATGGGGGTGTGGGGTGTCCGCCCCGTCCCGTCTCGCCCCGCTCACCCCGCTGCTCCTTCAGCGCCAGGACGGAGGCGACATAATGCGCCAGGTCGAAGAAAGGGAACATGCGGAGGCGGGAGAAGCTCAGCGGCACCTGCCACAGCTCCATAGCCGGGCACGGAGCTCCCGGAGCGGCTGCCCGGGACGGGAGAGGCGGAGGAGCGCTGAGGACGCGGCTTGGCCGCTCCCGGCCGCCGTCAGCGCGGGGCGGGGCGGGCGCGGCGCCTCACGGGGCCGGCCCTCCCTCAGCGCCGCGGCTCGGCGCTCTGAGGTGCCTGCCCTGCCTTTTGTTTGCCTTTTTTTGGTCAAAATGCTGATAGTCCTGCTCCATGCACAGTTCGAGGTCGGTTGTGGCCTCCCTCAGAGCCGCTGCTGCGTTTGTGCTGCTTCCCTGCGCGCCTCGTGCGCAGGTCGCTACGCTTACCGTGATGCATTCTTTTTTTTTTCCTTTCCTGTTGAATATTTCTGAAGCTCATCAAGAATACTTAGCATTACCAGAGTGTACACTCGGTTCCACATGTGGTCTTTCCCAGGCTGATGCCGTCTGTTCATCACTTACTGAGGGTATTAATGTACACCAGGTAACGCCAGAGCTCAGCAGAAATGCTTTAAGGCATCTTTACATCCATTTTCATAGTGAGGGCTATCTGCCTCCTTAAAGATCTGTGCCCACGTTGCGCCAATCCCACAGTATTTTCAGCAAAGCTAGTTTGCTCATGAGCTACCCAAATAAAATATTTTCAAAGATCTGCTAACTCAAATATATTTGCCTTTTCTTTGTTCACGAGACTCGGAGGATCTGAAGGAAATTCATGTAATTAGGATGGTTGGGGTTGGAGGGGACCTTAAACTCATTAATGGACAGGGACACCTTCCACCATCCCAGGTTGCTCCAAGCTCCTTCCAGCCTGGCCTTGGACACTTCCAGGGATCCAGGGGCAGCCACAGCTTCTCTGGGCACCCCGTGCCAGGATTTCACCACCCTCACAGGAAGAATTTCTTCCTCATATCTTATCTAGATCTATTCTCTTTCAGTATGAAGCCATTCCCCCCTTGTCCTCTCACTTCATGCCCTTTTAAACAGTCTCTCCATCTTTCTGACAGGCTCCATTCAGTTTACTAGTTTGTGAATTTTTTGGCTGGTTTCCCCTACTAAATTTCCCCCGAACTGTTTCTGTCTTTTCCATTCAGCTTCCACATGCTGGTGAAAAGAACTCTTAAAGGCTCTAAGTTTTGCACACTGTCTGGTGAAGTTAAGCAAAGCAGTCTGAAAATGTGCATCTTTCACTGGTGGTCTTGAACTTGTTCTTTGCCTACCAAGAACTAATTTCGGGAAATAACTGAAATTGTAGAATCATTCTGGGGAAAAGGTTTATGCCACTCAACACAGCAAACACTTGAACTTTTCCCAGAATAATTTCAGCTTGCTATGAATAGCGAGCTATTGTTTTCATTGATTTGCCTTTTATCAGTTCCATATTCACAGAGTAAGTTCCTATTCTCAGTGTCTTCCTTTCTGTGCATCCAGTGACTCATTTGCTCCCTGAGAATTGACCCATGTGCATGCAGCTCATTTCTGTTTCCTGGCCATTTCCATCTTCATTTCATCTACATGAAGAGATCCTAATTTAGTCAGTGATCTCTTACTAGCCTTGTCATTAACAAATCTAATTCTTATTTTCTGTCATGCTTGTGTGCAGTCCCAGAAACCAGAGTTTGTTTTCTAGAGCAGAATATCGACTTGCCCCAGTTTATAGGTAATGAGACATAATACATTAGTAAGCTACATTCTGTAGCAGAAATGAGTTCAGCATAATTTTGTTTCCCCCTGAGCAGGGCCCTGTGTCAGCTGCAGCTGTGGAGCTACTGACGGGATTAAAAACGTTGTAGTGTTTTTCACTCCTTGCAGTACTGATTTATCCCCACCGAGAGGCATCCGTTTCATTGCTAGGCAGCGAAAACTGCTCAGGCTATCTCGTTTGTGATCGTAGGAGAGGGGGGGAAGTGAAAATGGCAGTGACCGCAAGGAACCTACAGTGACGCCAGAAAAAAGTCACAGTTTGGGCCAGCAACATCTGCACTGCAGCCACCTCTGTGCCTGCAACTTGTGTAGAGATACCCAAATTCTTTTACAGTGATACCTCCACTGGTGCTGTTTTGCAGCAGATCAGCAATACCTGCCTGAACTTTCAATTTTAGTGGGGTCCTCAAATACATAATACTGCACTGTCACTGCACCTGAAGGGTTTCTCTCCAAAGCAGAGTTGTGCTGGTTTGGACTGGGGTAAAGTTAATTTCCTTCCCCAAGGCTGGTGTTAGGCTGTGTTTTGGATCTGTGCTGAGCTCAAGGGTGATGATACAGAGATGTTTCTGTTATTGCTGATTGAACAGAGCCAAGGACTTTGCCCCTCCTCAGGCTGAGGAGACCCAGCTGGGACAGGTGACCCCAGCTGAGCCCAGGGATGTTCCAGAACATGTGACATCGTGTTCAGTGTATAAAGTGGGAGGGGAAGGAAGCAGGGACATTTGTAGTGGTGGCATTTGTCCTCCCAAGTTCTTTGTGACGGGACCCTCCTCTGCTGGGAATGGCTGAACACCTGCCCAGCCAGGGGGAGCAGGGAATTCATTCCTCGTTTTCCTTTGCTTGTGTGAGCAGCTTTTGCTTCCCTTATTAAACTGCCATTATGTCAGCCTGTGAACTTTTACCCTTCCAATTCTCTCCCCAGTGAGAGGGTGGCTGCGTGGGGCTGGGGTTAAACAACACAGAGGTAGCTGGTGTGAGGGTGGATCTCATAGTGAGGTGGGAAAGTATGTTAACCACCACAATTTAAAAAAGAAAGACATTTTGATGAGTTTTCTACGTCCAGCTCCAGTAGGAAAAAAAGAGAAGCAGTTTATCTAAGACTGCTGGTGACCAGGGAGAGATTCCTGTGTGTTCAGGGTGGCATCTTAGCAGAGCAGAGAACAGAGGAAGCCACCAGGGAGAAACCAGACCACAGAGCACAGTCTGCATAATAAAAGTAGAGTAACAAATAAGAAAACTTAAAATTTGATCAATTTCCAGCTGTCCTGGATATCTCAGCACTAATTTAAAGACAGCAGGGGATAAAACCTGAAATAATCCTGCTCATCCTTGAGCCAAGTATACAGATGCTGAGAGAACTGTGTCAGCATGAGCTGGTGGTATTAGTGTGCAAGCTAGGTGCACCTGTCTCTGTGTGTATGTGTGCGTGAGAAACAATTTTTTGTGTTTTGCTGATTTTAAACTGGAAGAACAGATGCCGCTTTCTTTGTGAATTGGGAGCAGGCTAATAGTGAGACCTGAGCAGCACAGTGTGCATATAAGAATTTTAAAGACAGACTGTTGTGTTGTATAAGTGGAAAGCTCAATGTGAAATCAAAGCACAAGCCTGAACTGACTCTCTTGCCCAATGAATGTTATTCTGACCTTACAAAACCCCAATGTAAACACCTGCTGAATAGTTACCCAACTTGCACATTCTCTAGAGTACTTTTCAGCACGATTATGCTAATTTTTGTGTTTGAAAAAAAAGGTCTGTGTACTTAGCATGGAAGTATAGCTGGTGCAGTTGCTGCTTAATGCAGGATATGTTTATTTAGTGTTTTATTTCATAATGTCTGTTGGCGTCCTACAGGAAGTGGCTTGGAGTTCAAAAATAGTGCCTTAGGGGGAAAAAAAGGAGGAGAACTTCTTTAGTATATTTCATCAGTATGCCTCAAAACTTTTACTTTTCTTCTCCAAATCAGGAAATTAGATATAGTATCTTTTTATGAATTATTAGGGTTTTTTGTCTTCTAAGATCTCTCAGACTCAAGTCTGTTCATCAAAATCAGGTCGGATGAAAATAGAAATCTTTGTCACAATATGGAAGTGGACGTTTCCACTGTCTGCTCTCAGCCTACTACATTTGTCATTTGTAGCCATGTACCACACCGCTTCTGTCTCTTTCCAAACAAATTCTCGTTCTGCTCCACAGTTTTCTGCCTTGTTTCCCTGTTTTCCAACAGTTTTTTATCCCCCATCAAGCTGCTTACTTTGATCTTCTAGAACATTTTCCTGTTTCCTGTCTCACCAGCACCATATATTCGTCAACCCTGCATATTTCTTTCAGTGTCACCCCCCACAGCTTGCCTGGTTTTCTTGTTTTCTCCATGGCATCCTCAACATTTACTCATGGCTTTGTACATCTGTCAGTCTGCTGTCTGTCTCTGAGAATCTGGCTGTTCATTCCACTTTTGTCACCTTACTTGTGGATGCTTTCAATCTCATAAATAACTCATAAACTCAATAACTCATAAACTCAGGCCCCACCTTTACCTTTCTGCACCTTCCAGCTTCATCACTCTGGTTACCCTCCTTCTTTTCCAGTTTTCCTACAGAAGGTCAGGTCCTGTGTCCTTGCAGATTTTCTGGGGAAAAAAAATTGAGAAAATACATCATAGGAAGTTCAGAAGGCCAGGCTTCTCCTTGCACAACATTACTCTGGTTTATTTTCCTTGCATGCTGGTTAGTGCCAATCTAAATTGGAAAGTGCAGAAATAATGTTGGGGTTTTTTTTAAACTGAGCAGTGGTGTTGTTTGATTTCCATCCACCTCAGATCCATCCTCTCTCACACCAGATTAGGTTCTCACAAATATTTAAGGATCCATTTAAAATGTCTCTTCTCCTGCAGCCTTTGAAGCAGAAGCACTATGTTTTTTCCTAGGACTGTTTTTCCTTTTTAAACCTAGAACTGTAGCAGCTGTAGCCAGTTCTGCTGGCCCTATCCAAGAGGTCCCTGGTGTCTACCCTTAGGTCATGGACACACAAGTAGGCAAAAGTGTGTTCTCCAGGCTTTGGATGTATACATAAAGGATTTGTATGGCTATAAAAGAAGTACTCCAGTACTTTGTATCTTTATTGCAGTAGTAAACTCAGTCATGACTTCACATAGAGTTTAATTCAGGTTAACAAAAATTAGATCTTGGCTGCTAGGCCTCTCCTTAGCATATTTTGTTCCTTAACAGTATTGTTTCTGAAAGGAGCTGATTATCAAGTAGACTTTAACTCTTATTACCTTGTTTCTCTCTCTACTGCATCATTAGATGTCACACTTGCTGATTAGTTGATGGGACTGAGACAAGCTCCAGCCCTCTGTGGATCCAACCAAGGTTC